CCATTGATGAAGGCGTCAGTACTCAATGAACCCAAAGTCTCAATATGTACAGCTCTTGAGGCCATGCAAGTGAAAAGAAGGCCGTACCTTTTCATCTCCTTTCTACCCTCCTTGATCAGAAACGGCCCGAAACAGTCCATCCACAATAATGAACGGTGGTGCTGGTGTGATCGTATCATGGGGCAGATCTGCCATCTTCTGTGTCTGTGCTGAGCTGCGAAGTCTGTGGCAGGTTATGCACCCTCTGATAATTCTGGAGACTGCGCCATTACCTCCTATTACCCAAAGCCGCTTGCTCTCAGCAAGTTGAGCGTCATCCCTCGTCCTTGGTGGGGGGTCTGCTGGTGATAATGGCTGATCACCAACTCCCGTCAGATGATGCTTTGGGGTAGAATCGCTGGTGTTTGGTTTCAAAGGACTCGTCGGATCTTCTTATGCGGCCTCCCACTCTCAGCATTCCTTCTTTGTCAAGAAAGGGATCCAAGCGTTGGAGATGGCTGGCATTCTTCACACGGCGTCTGGTTTGTCTTTCGGTTTCACCATCATTTCTCAGGATTCGAGGATAGAATCTCATCAGCAAAGGACTCCTTCTGCAGTTGCTTTAGTATCAGCAACTCTGGCCGATGCAGATCTTCGCCGTGACTGTTTTTTCAACAGGTGGTACTGGGGCTGCATTTACAACTGGTGGACGATGCTTCACCACACAACGTCTCTTCAGCGAGAGATGAAGCGCAGACAATTTGCGACTGCTCTTTTTGCATGGTACCAGTTGGAGAAGCGGTTCAAGCGGTCCAACTCGAAGACAGGTTGGTTGGTACTGGTCGCAAGAGCTTGACTCTTCTTCACCTCTGGGTCGTCTTGTCTCACCTTGAAGCTCGACTGATCATCGCACCTTGGAATTTTCTCCCTCCACAGCATTTCTGGTCCGGCAAGCCACAGCGGTGTCTCAATGAGTTGGCTTACTGTCAAGCCCCGGGATGCTGCATCAGCCGATTATCCTTTGTGTCAACATGACGCCATTGTGAAGGAGAGGATACATCCCTGATCAGCCTGATTCTGTTGGCGACGAAAACGTGGAAACGCTTTGAATCATTGCCAATGTATCCCAAAACCACACTACTATCTGTCCAAAAGAACTCCTCGTAGTTGAGATTAAGTTCCTTCCTCAGGAATGAGCTGACTCTGACGGAGACTACGGCGGCAGTCAATTCGAGGCGAGGTATTGTCACAGGCTTCAGTGGTGCAACTCTAGACTTCCCCATCACTAACGTGCAGTGTACTCTTCTCTCGGAGTTGGTAAGTCTCAAGTAGGAACACTGGCCGAACCGCAGGTGCTGGCATCCGAAAAGTGATGCAGCTGGGCCGTCTGCACCTCACCAAAGTCAGCAGGTTTGTAGCATCTCTTTATGGACAGTGACTGTAGATTTCCCATGTCATTTCTCCACCTTTCCCATCTCGCCCTCAGCGCCTCTGTAAGTGGGTCGTCCCACCCGGCAGACTCTCTACACAGTTCCTGCAGGATTTCTTTGCCAACCAGCACGACAGGTGCTAGTAAGCCCAGCGGGTCGTAGACTGACATGACGGTGGACAGTATGCCTCTTCTGGTAAGGGGTTTGTCTTGAAGCGTGATCCTGAAGTTGAATGAGTCTGACTCGATGCACCATTGCACTCCCAGTGCTCTCTCTATTGGAAGATCGTCATGAAGGAGATTGACCTCTCTGATGCCCTTTGCTCGATCCTCAGCCGGTACTGAATTGAGTACCCCCTCGAATTTGAGACAAATTTGTGTAGATGGAGACCTCCCTTCTTACAGAGTTGTCTGGTTCCGGATATCATGTCAATGGCTTCCTTCTCAGACTTGACAGACCTTAGCCCATCATCAACATAGAAGTCATGAAGTATAAAATCCGTCACTTCTCTGCCGAACTCTGACACATGATCTCTGGCTAGTTGCTTGAGTGCGAAGTTGGAACTCCGGGGGAAGACCCTGCCCCAAACAGATGTACCTTCATGCGGAATTCACCTGGCGGTTGATGATAGTTTCCCCTCGGCCACCAAAGGAACCTCAAGTAATCTCTTTGGTTGTCAATGACCCTGAACTGGTGAAACATCTCCTTAACATCACACATGAATGCGATCTTTTCTTGTCTGAATCTGCAGAGCACTCCTACCAGTTTATTTGTCAGATCTGGTCCTGTAAGCAGGTGAGAGTTGAGCGATTCGTCCTTGTACTGCGCACTGCAGTCAAAAACAACTCTCAGCTTGTTAGGTTGCTGGACTCCATGATGTGGGATGTACCAAGCGGGACTATCACGGTGAACGATGTTGGGCACTGGCTCAGCATACCCGTCAGCATGAGTGCGTCCATGAGCTTGGAATACTTCTGCTGGTACTCTCTATCTCGTTCAAATTTGCTTCTAAGGTGTCCAAGTCTCTTGCTCGCCATGAACTTGTTGTTTGGTAGGTTGGGTTCACCGTTCTTGAAAGGCAATGCTGTCTCATAGTGGCCATCTTCTGTGAGGTGGATGGTCTCCTTCATAATGCTCAGAAAACCGGACATCATTCTGTGAAAATGATGAGTTGTCATCCCTTGCTTCACAGAAGTCAGCTTCCAGCAAGCGTGTAACTTGAAGGGGGCTTATTTCCTCCTTTGCTGTTATACCTTGGGTGAACACTACTTGACTCTTTGTAGTTTTGCAGTTGTGGGTCAGGTCTGCTGGAAGTTCGCAGGCTGTCAAACGATGACTGAAGCCGATCTTGTCATCTACACAGCTCTCGTACTCATCAGGCTTAATCACACCAACAATGCTCCATCCCAAGTCTGTTTTCAGACCATAAGGCCCGTCATCAACTGGTGGGATAACTTCCCGTGGGGCCAAGGCTTTCGTGCAGTCATATCCAATAAGAAGACCGATCTCACATGGCTGCACTGGAAGCAGGTGCTCCTGTAGTCGAGAGAGATGTGCATGTGAGCTTGCCATATCAGGATTAGGGATGTGACTTCTGTTCGCAGGCATGATGTTTCTTGAGTAGGTCGCAGGGAGGGGGATTTTCTTATCGCTGTTGTGAGCACGAACAGCAAGTCCTTCTATTCTCTCACTGGGGATTCTTTCGTCTTTGCTGGTCATTGTAGAGAGGAAGAGGTTTACCTTGACACCTTTCAGTCCCATCGCAGTCTTGGTGGACTCAAGGATGAACGATGTATCTGATTGGGTATCGAGAGAGCATAGACCATCCTCTCGTCAGGTGCTGATCGATGTGACAACCAAACTGGGACTACCATGGTACTTTTCGCAATGTCCTTGTTTGAGTTGAGATGGCAAACACTAGTAGTGTGTGAGCTTAGTGAGGTGTGGTTCTCAGGTTTCTCTAAGTTCACGGTTGGTTGGTCGGTCTGGTACCTGTCACCATGCAGCAGGGTTGGATGTCGCTTCATGCAAACTGCACACACACTTCTTCTGCGGCAATCCTTTGATCTGTGGCCTGGTCGAAGACATCCAAAGCAGAGACCCCTTTCTTTGATGTAGACCTTTCGATCTTGAAGGGTCTTGCTGCAAACACTTCACAGTTGTCCAGGTTGTGCAATTTCTTGCACAGCACACATGTTTGGGGACGGGCCTTGTACTCAGGTTGCTGCTTGGGGGGTCTATCAGTTGACACGCTAGTTGAAAATGACCTTGCACCAGCATGTGATTTCTTCCTGTCATACCGTTCTTCCCTTAGACTGTGGACAGACGTTACAGGATCACAGGCGATGTTAGCTTCCTTTCTACAAAGGAGGCAAATGTTTGAAAGGGTGGGTAGCTTCCATTCTTCTCCTTCCAGTTGGCAACAGGTTCTTCCCCACCTCCCGATCAACCAATCTGGTAGTTTAGCCAAAATCTTTCTGTTTTCCTCTCGTCATTGAGATGGTTGAGGTTTACGTTCTTCTCCATGGCTGTTTGGCACTGGCGGAGGAAGTCCGATAGTCGTCTCAGTCCGAATGCATCTTTGGGGCCACAGTCGGCCACGAGTCCAGCTTGTCTCGAAATGCATTGGACACTATGAAGGGATCACCGTATCGTTTGTCAAGAGCCCTCTTCGCTTCTTTGTATGCGGATTCATCGTTGACAAGGGAGAAGCCACGCACTAGGTCTAGTGCCTCGCCCTTGAGATATTTCTTCAGGTAGAAGAAACGTTCGGCTGGGGGTACGTGTACACCACGGTGCTCGATGAGAATGTCGTAGCCTTGTTTCCATGTGATGTACTGCATGGGATCACCGGAGAAGACGATTGGTTCAGGTGGGGGCAATCGGTTCATTTTCAATTGCTCCAGCAGACTCCCTGTTAGAGTTTTAATTGCGTCGTCTGTCGGTGACTTCATGTCGCAAGTTGGCGATGTGAACTGTCCGTTCTCTGTAGGGGTGGTCAGTGGGTCGGTGTTTGGGGGTGAAGGGCTGGATTCATTCTCAGGAGTTGGATTCGGTGAGTCCATTTCCTGATTTGCTGTCTCTGCAAAGTCATTCTCGACGGGGGGTTCTTCACCATGCGCAGGTAAGTTCACCATTGTTGACATTTGCTTCCGGCTGAACTAGATTTGAGGGAAGCAGCTGATGAAGCAATATCTCCTCTCAACGCAAGTATCCGCTCATGGGTTAGTCTCATTAGAACGGCATGTTCTATTTCAGCATTCTCAAGCTGTTCGGTGCTGTCATCGGGCAGATTCGATGTCGACAGAAACTTGGCAAGAGTTTCTTGTATTTTCGATGGCTTTGTCCATAGCCTGTTGTGACGCGTCTCTTTGTAGCTTGACATTTGAAGTTTCCTCTTCATCGCAAAGCAGAGTTCTCAATTTGTTCGCATTTCTCCGCCATGATGTCAAGCTGCTTCGGAATTCCTTCCGCTTCACGTCCGCATGCCACTGGATTCCCTTCTCCGTTTGCTTTGACTCCCTTGCTGTCTCCTCAGTCATCTTGAGGTCGCAGTATATTCAGCAGGGAGTTGGAGCATCAAATATAGTGTGGAGGAGTTTTCACTGTCGCTGTATCTCAGATCGCAAGTAACTTGTAGACTCACACTAGTCACAGTACATGTATTTCACTGAAGTGTCAAGTGTTTAATTTTAAGTGCTCCATTAATCCTCCATGTAATAACTCACTCCGAATGTTATAATTCACTCCATGTTAACTCACTCTGAAAACTATATTGAAAAAACACAAGGAACCGCAGTTAAGTACATGAGAAAACCCTAATGAGAAACCCTAGTTTGAACCAGTCACATTATCAGGCTGACCTTAACTTACATGTACAGTACCTTGTAAACACACATGTGGTATGGCAGATTAACATGAACAATATGAATGAACATATGTCAGCGACGAATTGCAACATGTATCCTGTCCTTAGACAATCACAGAATTTATAGAAAGAAATTGGCCAAATAATTCTTGATCAGCACTCGAATAATTAATCAATTGAACTTGTAAACCATATGGGATCACATGTGTACATGTACATCGCTACAATAAACATTGGGCAGGATCTATAATGCATGTACGATTATTGTGTTCAAGTTTCATTTCTTATAGCAAAGTTAGGCCTTACTATGAATTAAAACTATCTTATATTTCTATTAAACTTTAAACAATCATAAAGGGTACAATTTATATTACCTCCTGCCTCTGTGTCTTCAATTGACTGAATTTAATGACTGTAATTCTGAGACACAACGC